AAGGCATTCAAATTGAGCGCCTGGCTTTACACTTCAAGCACCCGTGAGTTTGGTAAAATAATAAGGCATTCAAATTCCAACAAAAGCTTGATTTTAATAACGGGTACGTTTTTTATACACCGTGTATATGACGGTGTTTCCATAAATATTATACCTCATTACAAACTTGTCCAATCACAGAATTCGTTTTATACCACATGTCCATGGTATTTTTCAGCAAATACTGAGCCCCGGACGGGTCATGCTATACTACGCTTGAGCGGGGAATTCGATTTTTGAATACCCACTCGTACCCAGTCCGTTGTCTAATTTTGGCAGCACAAATGGCGGAATCTTCAGGTCAATAGGAAGTAACGGAGGTCGAGGTTCGGTATTTATTCTTCAGGGTAATTTTTGGGCGAAAACCCCAAGTTTAAGGTCTATAAATGTCCCGAAGTAAATATTGTCTACGTATCACATATATTTGGAACTCATGTTAATTGAATAATGAACAGAAAAATATACCCGGGTTATATATGCCTGCCGACAGGATCTATTAGCGTTGTTATGTTTTAGGGACATTGTGATGATATATATGAGATATAGTTTTTCGAGTGATGGAAACTTCGAAACTTTCGACTTAAAAATGAAGGTTAAAGTGATTCGGAGTTTGATACAACCAACCTCTGGCATAAACTATAAACTTTTCAACTTACCTCTTCCAAAACAATATCGTGTATCGTGTTGCAAGCTTGCGTGATCTCTCCTTCCAAGTTATTAGGTTTCCCGCGAGCAAGAACGTTGAGGCTGTCACTGCTTGTACTGCTTTCAATTCCAACATCATCACTTGATAAATTAGGCCTAAATTCCGGTACTTCGGGGGATAATAAAGGATGTTCCTCGCGCGTCTCTTGAGGTGCAGTCGGCTAGAATACATAAGCAAAAGTAGGACATAAACTTGAGGAGAGAATTTTTCATTTCTGCACAGTTCTCTTTCTCGTGATTAGAACAAACAATTCTTCTTAACCGGCCTTACTGTCTGTTCACACGATCCAATCTTGTTGGATCAAATTCCCTTCTGAGGTATGGAATGAAGTCAGTTATTCAAAAAACTGCGTTGGTTGAAGTTGATTTGCTGCGCACATACATAGCAATTACGTCAACAGACTATAAAACATCCATCACAAGTGAATTGGATCCGACGAAGTTGGATTGTGTGAAGACCTTCACATCCTAAGAATCCCTCACGACAAAGAGGAATTTCGTTTCAAAGTAAACGGCAAATATGTTTTCATTTATCAGGTAAGCTAATCAGAATGCCTGAATTTTTAATGCACGTAAATATAGGAGGGAGGGGGGGTTATCCCCTTAAACGTTCTAGGAAATTGCGTAGTGTGAGTGTAAGTGATAAACTTCCTTTTGATATAAGAAGCTTACTGCCAAAATTCTACCTCCTTTCGAGGTAAAAAAATTAGCCTTGCTGGAGAACATGTAAATTTAGGCTATGTGCACAGGAGCGTCGTTTTCGAGGGTTCTCAAATTGTTTCTGTCTATTTTATTGTTTAGACGCCATGTCCACACGATCCAAAAAGAATATATGCTTAACTGATATGTTCATTAGCTTCAATTTTATTGAATTAAGCCTCATTGTAAATTGAGGGTGTTTGAAACCGTTTTGGCATGAAAACGAAAATGAAAACGCACGAGAAAACGTCACCGTGTGCACATGGTCTTAATCGGCTTGGAGTACACAGTAATAAAATTACGTTATTAACCAGACAACGACGTGGATCAAGATTCCATAACTTCAACACTTGATCTTTAGACCACGTTAATAATTGGAACCCATCTTCACCTTTTAGAAAAACAAAATTCTTTGTGACAACACATTATTTGCCCCCTAGCACAACTTGCATCCGTGGTAGTATTCATTCATAACATTTGTGCGGAATTTCAAACTTCTTACCTTCGGTAAACCTCCAATGAAATTCTAGAATAGACGAATTTCCGTGAAACGTCTGGAACGGGTTTTTCAAGTTGGTATTCCATAGAGATGGTACACTTACTGTTCTTTGTGAAGCTGTTGACAGTGGCACCGTCAGAATAGCATTGCCAGGCGGCTAATAATTTGAAATTTATTAAATTTATCCAAACACGCGGGAATGTTCCAAGAGTTGCGAAAAGCGCGCAAGACACTCAAGCAACATTCCCAAAAGTTTGGATCAGGCCATCCAAACACGGGAAACCATTAAATAATTGCTTTATAAAATAACAACAACAAGATAGTGTTCCAAGTTTGATTTGAAAAAGCAAATTTAATTTCCGCGTTTGTGATGGTCTGATCCAAACACGGGTTTCGACTAATCGGAACACATGTTATATACAATATACTTTATTATCCCGTTCTAAACTAACAGAAAATAACTATAATATATTCTACACCCACCGTGTATTTTGCTCGCCAAACGGGAGCCCGATGGTCACAAATCGCTTTAGCATTACGCGTGTCTTCAAAAATATCCCATAACTAAACAACAAAGATGTCTCATCAATAACATTGTAGCATTCGCTTAGAGTCAATTGAATGACGCCAATCATAGTTGTTGATTACACACATGTTTGCCTTTCAGCAATATTTTTCTCGGAAATTTTGTTTTTTTTTCTGGTACTGGACCACTGAGAATTCTTCCCAGTCATTCGCAGAGCTCAGTTTCGCCGAAAGTAGCTAATTCCTGAAACTGTGGATAAGCATGCATGGGTCAACTTGTTGGAACAAACATAACAAACTTGTTGAATCGTCAGATTCGTTACAAGGTGCATCCATCAAACAACATTGCTATAATCTTGTGTTGCCAAGTTTGTAGCAACAATGTTATCGGCGCGGAGATGACGAATCTTGAACTTGTAGTCGCTGCTTAAGCTTCCTAATGTCTAACAATCATGCAACAAGTTTAATCAGCTACAACAAACGTGGAGCAAGCTGTGAAAACACATTTTCTTGACAGCTTGTTTGCAACAATACATTCAACAACATTGTAGTTTTGTACCAAAACAGCTGTACGCTACCTTAACAGTTTTATCAAGACTGCATGTTATTAACTTGTTGCCATCAACAGGCGACCAATCCAGGCCGTTGATCTTCGAAAGATGAGCCGAAATATATCTAACGGGCGCATTTCCTTTCTGAAATATAAGAGTAAAAGGTTCAATGACCATTCTCATAATGACGTCACACGCGGAAAGCCTGACGTCACATGTTGGCTCGTTAGTTTTGCAGAGCCAATCAAATTTCATGTGACGTGTTTGACGTCATTATGAACTATTATTTTATTATACCAGTATATCACAAATAATTAAAACACTGGAACTATTTCAAAGAAATACAACAGAAACATACAAGAAATATATCACCACAAAGTATGGAATACGCACCCTCAAATCCCAAATACGAACATCGCCATCATGGGTTGTGGCAAGCATATGATTGTTCTGTGAATTCCACTTAAGATGGCTTGCTCCTGCTAGCAAACGGAAAGCTCGTATTGTAAACAACTTTTTGAATTCTTACTCTAGATATCAGTGAAAATCCCGAACTTTATATAAGCGGAATCAGATCAACAGACACTTCCCACTAACGATAGATTACAAAAGTGCATAAGACTCCGGTATATGAAATGAATATTGTGATGATGAAGCTGCTCTGAGCCACCGAGTCACCAACCGGGTAAGCTGAAAAATTAGCTTGACCACGGTGGGAATCAAACCCGTGACCTTTGGTTTGCTAGTCCAATGCTTTTCCAACTGAGCTACTAGGGCAAGACGGTTCGAGTATTTGATATTTCGGAACTGAAACTAGTCCCTTCCATTTCTAAATGATAGTCTATAAGACTCACGTATATGAAGCTGCAGCTTTATCACAATATTCAATAGATTACAAATCGATTGAAATTCGACAAGCATTACTTACAAACAGTTGAAAGAGGCTTTGGTTTCTTGCAATCTCTGAAATGAAGTAAATGAATTTAGCAGTCCAGATAGGTGTTACTGGATGGCGCTGGTAATAGGTGCGAGAAACTTGCAAATTGGTTCAAACCTGCAAACTACCCCCGCCTGCATCAAAACGAGGGAAGGTTGATAAGGGAAAAGATACAAGGCCTACCGTAAATCCCAGAGATAAATATAACTATCGGAAGAACATGACGCCAGGAGACGTGGATTAAATCTCGACCAGTTCAGGCAACTGAAATTTAGAAATATACATGTCATTTTGAAATTTTGGCAGGTAGACTGACTAGCCTCGTTTTAGGTAACGTAACTCGCAACAGGCCTCTCTCTCTCTTTTTAGAATAGATCGGTATGCAAATGCTATACATTTACATTGCACGCCTTAAACAGGTGCCACTTAGCCAGGGGCTATTTTCACAGTTTATATGTGAGATATTTAATCATACCACAGGTAGCCCAGTGATTGCAGCAAACATTATTCACTACAACCAAAGTGATAATTGAAATAACCCTAGGTAAACATATTTCAGAACTCGAATTTACCCGACAGTTCTTGTATGGGCAAGAAGTTCTTGATACTTTTTCCCCCTACCATCTCCCCAGGTCCAAAGTTCAATCCTTTTGTTGCACTAATAAAGACCGTAAAGACCGCAATAAGAAAGTAATGTTTGACAATTTATGCTTCAAAGTACAACAGATAAACTATGAGGTTTAAAGATTTCCATGAGAGAAAGGGCCAGACCAGTATCCAATTGAACTGATTATTTTATTATTTAGCAACAGACCTTTTTATAAACAAAACGTAAATACAAACAAAACTAGGATACCAGCCCTACACTTGAATACGTCAGTGGGCTGCACACTAGGAAATACATCACTTGGGTGGGCACTCAGAGAATAAATCACTGGGTGGACAAAATATTACTCACCGTTGAGGCAAGGTGAGTCTGATGACTTTGATGGGGATTCCACTCAATGGCAAAGCAGTCCCATTTACTTTGCCTTGTTATCTTACCACCAATACATGAATGACCTTGTGTCAAGTCATATAGAGCTAGTCCACCACGCCTAAAAAGATTTGGTAACAATACGTAAATTAGACAAAAAACAAATACTCAGGAAGAAGGACATATCATAATCAAACCAAATCAGCTCTAGGGTTCTTAGTTCCCAACAATTTTGTGCTAAATCACAAATGCACCCGGCACACTTGCTTAGTTCACACATGTTAGTCAGTGCATTCTTAATTAAATAATGCATGTCATCAAAATGTGGCCATCTGGATTCTAGATGAACGGACATGTCCTATTAATCTAAACATGAATCGACCGACAAAAATTGTTGGTGTGTGCTTGCTAAACATTTGAAGTTTTTCTTAATGAGCATTATAATGACTTACCCAGGTAAAGCTACAAGCTGTCCTGTATAATCAATTGCAAAAACTTGCACCTGCAAGGAAATGAGAAGGTTAAGTTCAGGTATATTCATGAAGACACATTTTTATTTAGTTCACACTCATGTAAATGCTTTTTAATAGTAGTAGACAGAAAATTTAGACTATCAAGTCAAGCAACTTAATGAATAACACAATCCTATGCGAGGAAAAACTATTTGGTGCTGTTAATTCTGCACAGCTTTAACCTAATCAGATTACCAGTTCTTTTGCAGTTATTTGTTTGAAATCAATGCCGGATTACCAAAGGGGCAACAGGGGCAATTGACCCTAGCCTAAAAAAATTGAAAGATATCCTCTCCCCTCTTCCGCCCCCGTTTCTAATTTCAGCGGCGGTCATGTTTATATGTTATCATCTAGTGCATTTGCATTCAAAGCCTCTGGAGGAGAGAGGGTGGTCCCTTCCTCTGAGCTTTAATCATACTCTGATCATGAAGGGGAGATCCACCTACAAATTATTCATATTTTTGTGAGCTGTGACCAGGCCTAGAAAGATTAATCCGGCAACCCCACATACTCTTTTTTGAAAAAATACAATATCATTCAAGCTATTAGCTTTAGAAATACATGTAGGATAATCCTCCAATACTGCTTGCTCAGTTGCTCTCACCGGCCATTCTGTAAAGGAATAGCTTTCTATTTCCCGAGCCATTCTTGTGACAACCAAAACAATTTTTTATCTAAATACAATGCATGTGGGTTTAAAAATTTAGATACCATATTAACGTTTATGTAGAATTAAAAAAATTAGGAGGAGCAGTAATTAGCGTATTTATAAATGGTATAACCTAGGAACCTACTCTGCCTAGTGGCTTTCACCAAGCTTCTATTCGTCAATCCTTACGTTACCCACCTTGGTTAGTCTTCACCACTGGTCTTTATCCGACTTGCTAAAATTCTTGTGTGAAATTTCGCCTTGTTGGGACTTGGGCCATCGTCACTCGTCAGGACGGAACTTTTAATTACTTTCAGTCTTTCAGATTGTGGCCATATTGTCATCCTGATTTGACAGTAGCTTACATGAAGTTGACTCACTTGACCATATGAAAAAAAAAAGGTACTCAAAAAGTACGGCCAGTGACCTTTTCAACGGCAAGTGTGGTATTTTATTCCCAGTCTCGGGATTTTCTGTAGCAGTAGAAATTTTATTTTAAAATGTAACTTTTGAAACGATGCAGGGATGACATCTGGACGGAGATCTTTATTAGAAGTGACAACTTTCAGTTCATGTTGATTTTGGTTTTTATCGTCATTAAAAACACCGTGATCTCAATTTTCATTTCGCATTTGAGGACGATTGAATATAGAAACAAAGGGAAGAAGCATTGAAGAACGCGTAATCGACCTCGTACAGTTTGCAACTTTCTGTGCATCCCTGGGTACGTAGTTACTTTCTGTATGCTTTCCAACGAGAAATCACTTGAAGGTAGAAATGTTAGCAAAAGATGTATACAGGAGCGCCGAACAAAGTATTAGGCAAGCTGAATTTCACATGCGCAACTATGCTTGCCACCAAGGGAGAGATTTTGAATCGTTCACATCATATAGATGCTCTTACTTGGTTTATGTTAAAAAAATATTTCACTCGAGGCAGTAGTAGCAAAATCGAAAAGTTCGTCTGGCCCCACGTTTTGCCGGTTAAAAGTATAATAACGGGACGTCATAAAAGTTATTTGCCCTAAAATATTTTTTTCAGAATTGGATCTAAAATGACCGCCAAGGAGCTCAATTATTGGACAAATATATATGGCCGGTTTTCCACGAGCAATATTTTTCGCGCGAAGCAACATTTTACTTTTGTTTCAGAGCTCTTAGTCGCTCAAATACAATAAAGTCGCTTTGCACGAAAAATATCGCTATATGGGAAACCGGCTTATGACCGTACCGTCTGAACGAAATAATAAAGATTAATATTACCTTCGATACAGCGTAGGACGCGCCAGCAGAATCATAACCCGAATTAGGCATGTGCAGCCTAGATTCTGCTGGCCCATCTCGATTACGACTTAAATGACGAAATATGAACTGTTAGGTTTGGATAATTTGAAATTCCCAGTTTAGCAAAAGAGTAGCAACGATCCCACATTTTACATCAATAGTATAAGAATTCGTGTAATAAAATAACCATATTATATAATACTTTTATCGTCAATATTTGTTAGGACAGTGAAAACGACCATTCAGTGAAAATGGCGTGCGTACTGTCATGCGAATAGTCCCAGACGAGCGGTTTTGGCGGAGAGAAATGTATGTAAGACGAAAACAACTGGCTTTGGACATCCACGAAGATCTAGTTCCTGGAAGAAAAACATCACAACTTTGTTTATACATCACAATGATTTACACATAAAAATTTCATTCCGTTTTCGACGAAATTTGACATACCTGTTCTCCTTCATCTCCACCAAAATCAAGCCAGAGCAAGCGTTGTCCGTCATCGGCAGACATCTTTAAACGATCAAACGGGAAGGACCATAAAATCTGGGACTTTCCTGAAGAATCTATTCCTGACCTCGCGTCAGTTAGGGTGAAACCATTCTCATAATGAATTGTAAGACGAGTTTCCTGATTGTGCCACGTCACCGCTACAAGATATTGAAAAAACAGTTATTCCATTCAACATGCGGGTGTTTATTGTAAGGAAGAAATAGTGACGGACGGGTCGGTTTTAACTATGAAAACGAGTTGGTTTTACAAAAAAAAAACAAGTTGCTTTTACCCATGAAAACAAGTTGGTTTTACCCATGAAAACAAGTTGGTTTTACCCATGAAAACGAGTTAGTTTCAATCATGAAAACGAGTCGGTTTTAACCATGACAACGAATGGATTTTACCCATAAAAACGAGTTGGTTTTAACTATGCAATCAAGTTGGTTTTAATTAGGAAAACGAGTTGGTTTTACCAATGAAAACGAGTGGGTTTTACCCATAAAAACGAGTTGGTTTTAACTATGCAATCAAGTTGGTTTTAATTACAAAAACAAATTGGTTTAACCTAATGTAGTAATGAAAAAGACAAGTTTGTTCTACTATTGAAAAAGGTTTATTCCTTGTGCTTTAATAGATGCAAACGAGCAAATACTTATGATGATCAGCGGATTGTAAAGACGCCTTTCCCATCCGTACAATCATAACTTACCCACACACTCAAGCATCAAAAGAAAAAACACTTCAAACCACAGTTAGTGTAAACAAATAACTTAACTCATCATAAGTAAATACTATAGTAACAAAGAGCGACTTACAGTATCTTAAAAAGACGACTTAATGACGTTAACAACTCACCACAATTTATTTCTTTGATTAAAGCAGCCGCGCTGTGGGCTCCTTCAATAATACTACGACACCAATGAGCCAGTTCACGCGGTGTTTCCGCTCGAAATAGATGAGCTTCCACACCTTTCCGTGAGCCTGTTCTTGTTCCAAACGTCAAATCTGGTGAATTCAAGCGTTCTGATGAGGTTCCAGTTGAGTTCACTAATCTAAAAAAATAATTTCATATTCGATGACCGTAACGTAACAACTTTTTTGGCATTTCGTATAGTAGCTAAAAGCCTTGCCTCATGTAATAAAAAGAAACGGCTGCTATTCACAATAATATGGACACTTTGTCTGGAAAAGATAGTTTGTTGACAATTCGTCACTATATATATATAGATAAAGCTGGAAAAACATCATCTATCAAAAAGACGAATGCGCATAACGATACTAAAAAGCTATTGCGGATATAAGGAAGAATATACAATATTACCAACGGAAGAACTACAAAACTCATTCCTTTTTTGTTCAGGACTGGATTAATGCGAAAAGGTCTTTTCTAGCCACAAATCTTTACTTAACGAAACGTTACATATCTTACACCACACACAGGAAAAACGATCACATTTTTAAATTACAGTATTAGTTTGTGGGTACATCACGTGGCTTGTAGCTATATTTATTTATGCAGAGTAAAATTTCGGGGCGTTCATCGATACGCGCTATTCAATTGACTATAGATCTGATAAAATCACTATACAGTAAGTGACTAGGGTTAACGGAGCGAAGCTTTACAGAAATAAATATCATACGTGTTGTTCCTACAAACTGATAATGCAAATTGCTGTTTGCCATGCAAAATTACAAAATTATACCTTGCAAGGCATCCGAAATATCGCCCGGCGATGTTATCTCACGTGCTCTTTGTTGGTTACTTCAAAGGCTCTTCCGTCCCCCTCAAAACATGCAATTTAGATCTTGACCGCAGACTACTGACTACGACGGTAATCGTTTAGCGTAATACAGGCAATTATTCATACAAGTCTTCTTAAATTTTGATATTCTGAATGGTTTTATATGTTGTTGATATTGTGTTTTCCAAATAATCTCTTTTGCAACTTATCTCGGTCAATTCGTTTAGCAACTAATCTCGGTCGCGTCAATTCGTCAAGAGAGCATACATCTAAACATTTAATATTACACGAATTCGGTTTTATTTGAGGTTTTAACGGTCCATGTTCGTTGTTTGTAATCCTAAATCGCTACTGTCTCAGTAGTGGCAGTGGACTTGGTACCTGGTGAAGTGAGTTTGAAGCGAATGAACAACGCTTGGAAGGTTTTGAAAGCAAGAGGAAACATATGTATACATGCATGGTTAGCAGGTTGCCATCTTCTAACCATGCATGCATATCTCTCCTTAAAACCAAAAAACTTACACTAGCATTAAAATGTATCACTTCACCGCTTAGTGTTATCAGCCAATTAGTCTTCATACATGTTCACAATGTGTGTTTCCAGGCGTATCCACAAACAAACAAGGCCGCTTTCCGCCCAACCTTGCAAGGTTGATTGATTGCTTTCGTACGTGCGTGCGTAAGGGCGTGGAAAAGTTTCAGGGAACGTTCAGTTTAATTACTTTTAAATACCTTAGGGCTCATCGCACGAACACATGAAACAATACAGAAATACAGAATACTGCCTCTACTAGTTTTGCAATGATTAAAATTTACAGTATGTGATTTCAACTTTTCACAGGTATAAAAGCTACTACAAACAAATTACTTGAATGATAAAATATCCATGGGCCTTCAAAGCTGACCGCAGGAGGACTATAGCAACTCAGCATTGACATTCAGTTTATAACTTGTGCAGACTAAACTGACTGTAAGCAAATAATTTCAAGGTGTGGTTGCTTAAGTCTGACTGAGTTATAAAAGGGTTTGCAAACTTTTCATATATTTTCATACATAAATTGAAAAATAAGCAGTGACAAATCTCATGTCTTTTTAGTAAATTATGTGTTATTGCTTCAAAGGGTAAAATACCACACAGATTAAATACCTAACTAGATAGATGACAAAAGTAGGGCATATTTCAGCAAAACAAATTATTAAGACTAAAGCAAAGCAATCTTTACCTGGTTGCTAACAATGGATGACTCATAAAAGGTGATGCCCATTCCTCTAATGTGAATGCAACAGCATCATATAGTAACATATCTTTATCTGTTAATGCCAAAAAAACTGGCTTCCATTCCGGTTTAGGGCTGTCGCCGCCAACATAAACTTGCTCACTAAGCCAGCCCATAGTGTGTATTTCCCTATTGCCTGGTGACCCACTTAGTATGACATTAGCTTCATCTATCGCTGTAAATACAAGAGAAACACAAGTTAGTGCCAGTTAAAATTTATGC